AGTACAGAAAAAATAAATTGTATTTTATACCATGTTCTATGTCATGTGCGTGGGTACTTGTTGTACATACTTGGGTATGTATACAGTATGTATATACCCAAACCTTATTTAAGCACTGCTCAGGCCAGAGCAGACTCTTTTTAAAGACTAGGCGGTGTTGCTCTTAGTTACAGTATAAAGTTTGCCAATACAAGAGCATGCATTCATGGGCACAGCAGAGCGTAATCCTCATAAAGGCAGCTTTATGAAGGTGCTCTCTGGACCAAGTGATGCAACTGGCTGTTCGTTGTTACTGCTCTTTTGTTCTGGAAGTTGAATGACTTAAGTTACTCATGCATTGTGTTTAAAGGGAATTGTGGACAAGATTCAAGTGCATTTTGACTGTTACAGAAACATTAGTTTAGTGCATGTTTAAAAACATAACATGTATTAACGTTGTATTAGAAATAGAGTTATGAAGTTCAAAGAGTTGTTGGGACTTGAGCAAAGTGACAGCCAAAGCATTGCCTTTGTTCCACACATTGTGTATAGATAGAAGCAGTAAAGAAGGGATAGCTTGAGATGACTGCTAATAGTTCACAGATGAAAGGGAGACTGAGCGGAAATTCAAAGGTAGCCAAGCAACACGGGGAATGCACACATGCACATTTTGCTCTTCCTCTCCCTTCCGCCGTTTCTTTAGCTTTTCAGCCTGCCCATACAAGCACACAGCGACAACCACACACACATGCACACATACAGGACTCTATCATCATTAACCAGAGCAGGGAACACAATGTTAAGCTCCTCTCCCAGTGCTGTCCGCTGGGTCAGAGCGAAAATAGAAGTTGGCCACAAACTATGGCTCTGCAAGGGGGTTGGAGCAGTGCATGGCAGACCAAAAAGAGGAAAGAGAAAAGGTTTCAAAAGAATCCCTTGATGATGTTAAGTATGTGAGAACAAGGTGTGCTACGATGCCCCCAGACTGCTGCAGTAGTTGTTGGCAAGGTATTTTAATAGGCCTCTGTCTCCATAAAGATTCCTTTGATCATTCTCTGAGGCTGCACGTGGAGGCTGACTGCACCGGAGCAGACACCTGGACACACTCTAAAGCTACTTTGTCTGCCACTCACCAAGTCCGTCTGTGAGCAGCTTGACCTTTGCCTCTTTGCATAATTATAAAGTTTACTCACCAATAAGATATAGGCTAGTTTATTTATGCCAGGTCATGAATAGATAGAGGCAGATATATACATAATATAAAGGTATATATAATGAACTCGACACAAGGGCAATTCTGCTTCTTAAGTCTTTAGCCTCGGAGTCAACTAAACATCTATTTATGACTGACTACTAACTGAATGCTTTAAACAAAAAACAAAAAAACTTGAAAGTACTCCACCTGAGTTAGTTAGTTGTTAAGTTTGCACCAGAAACTTCTGTAATGACACAATAAATAAGTGATTAACGTTTGGATGTAATCCAACTCTAGATACACGACCTTTTAAGGATAATCTTTAAGATAAGATAAGATTGCTTTATTTATCTCACAGAGGAGAAATTTACATGTCACATTTGGCATGGATAGAGACACTCAGATTGTGCAAAAGGAGGAAATGTGCAAACATGTTACATGCAGGATATATGTACAATAAAGTGACAATAATTATGTACAACAAAAAGTGACAAGTGTCAATTGGAAACAGTGTCAATAGTAGTGCAGGTTTTCACACAGTGATCATTTAAAGTGACTTATTGTACAGTCTGACAGCGGTGGGGATAAAGGCCCGGCGGTAGCGCTCCTTCCTACACTGAGGGTGCCTCAGTCTTCCACTGAAGGAGCTCCTCAGCTCCTCTACAGTCCTGTGCAGTGAGTGGGAGGTATTGTTCATGATGGAGGTGGCTTTGGCCAGCACCCTCCTGTCCCTCACCTCCTCCACAGAGTCCAGGGAGCAGCCCAGAGTGGAGCTGGCCCTCCTGACCAGCTTGTTCAGTCTGTTTCTGTCCCGCTCTGTGCTGCCCGGGGCCCAGCACACGGCAGCGTAGTAAATGGCAGAAGCTACCACAGAGTCATAAAATGTCCTGAGCAGAGGCCTGCTCACTCCGAAGGACCTCAGCCTCCTCAGAAGGAAGAGGCGACTTTGGCCCTTCTTGTGCAGGGCGTTTGTATTATGGGACCAGTCCAGTTTATTGTTAATGTGAACACCCAGGTACTTGAAGCTGTCCACCAGCTCAATGTCCTCCCCCTGGATGTTCAGCAGCGTGTGGGAAAGTGGTTTTCTCCTGAAGTCGATGACCATCTCCTTGGTCTTACTGGTGTTCAAGCACAAGTGGTTGCGCTCACACCAGTCGACAAAGTCCTTGATAACCGACCGATATTCCAGTTCGTTCCCCTCAGACACACAGCCCACGATGGCGGAGTCGTCGGAGAACTTCTGCAGGTGACAGCTGTGTGTGTCGTGTGTGAAGTCTGAGGTGTAGATGGTGAAGAGAAACGGTGAGAGGACAGTGCCCTGAGGGGCCCCAGTACTGCAGACTACCACCTCAGACTCACAGCTGCGGAGCCGCACGTACTGTGGTCGGTCTGAGAGGTAGTTGATGGTCCATGCAGTGAGGCTACTGTCCACTCCCGCGTCCTCCATCTTCCCCCGCAGCAGTGCCGGCGGTATTGAAAGCGCTGGAGAAGTCGAAAAACATGACCCTCACAGCGCTCCCGGCGGGCTCCAGGTGGGAGAGCGTCCGCTGCAGGAAGTAGATGACGGCGTCCTCCACTCCGATGTTGGGTCTGTAGGCGAACTGCAGCGGGTCCAGGGTGGGGCTGACCATGGAGCGGAGATGGGTGAGGATGAGCCGCTCCATTGTCTTCATCAGGTGGGAGGTCAGTGCGACTGGTCTGTAGTGAGCCGGTTCCTTGGCGTGTGCTGTTTTTGGAACCGGGATCACACAGGAGGTCTTCCACAGGACAGGGACCTTCTCCAGGCTGAGGCTCAGGTTGTACATGTAGCTGAGGACCCCAGAGAGCTGGTCTGCACAGGTCCTCATCAGCCTGGGACTGATCCCATCCGGTCCTGCGGATTTCCTCAGCTTCAGGCGCTGGAGCTGACTCCTCACCTGGTCCGGTGTGATGGAGAGGGGGGGGACTGGGATGTACTGTCCGAGGTGGGGGCTGGGGATGCGGGGGCAGGAGGGCCCGGGGCAGCCGGAGGCAGTGTCCACTGGGCGGTGTCCACTGGGCTGGGGACGTGTGAAGAGGTGGGGGTGGGAGGGGGGGCAGATGGAGAGGGGGGAGAATCAAACCGGTTGAAGTGCTGGTTAAATTCGTCCGCCCGGTGCTGGTCTCCATCTGCTGTTCCTCTGGCACTCTGTCCAAAGCCGGAGATGTTCTTTAGGCCTCTCCACACGTCGCGGGCGTTTCCCTGGGCCAGCTTCTGCTCCAGCTTTTTCCCATAGTCCTTCTTGGCCCTCCTGATCCTCCACTGGAGCTCGTGCTGGATCCTCTTCTGCTCCTCCCTGTCCCCTGAGATGAAAGCCCTTTTCTTGAGGTTCAGGAGGGCTTTAAGCTCAGGGGTCACCCATGGGTGGTTGTTAGAAAAACACCGCACCTTCTTAGTTGGTACAGTGTTATCCACACAGAAGAGAATATAGTCTGTAATGCAGTGTGTCAGGCTCTCGATGTCCTCACCATGAGAGCTGCAGATTTGACACTCTTACTTGTTCTGACCTGAGGCCAGAGCAGGGCAGAGGTGTTTTATTGACTTTTTTATTCATTTGGAGGAAACATATTTCAGTGAAGCTGCTCTGACGACAGGAGCGTTGCCGTGTGCAGACGTCATGCAGCATGTGGCCATTGCATGAAACACCAAATTAAAGAGGATAGAAATATGGTTTGTTTATGCAGAATGAAAGTGCACCTCTTGGAGGTCTGTGCTAAACCAGGGCTATTCTATTACAACTCTTTGATCGGCTGTGAGATTTTAATTCATAGGTCCTACATAGGCCCAATAGGTTACAAACATTTCAGGAACGAAACATCAATGTAATAGTTTTAAACCAAGTCCTGAATCTTAAAATGCTGTGTGAAGATGAACATATATAGGCCTAATAATGTATAATAGATTGGCCTAAAAGCCATGAAGCCGATGGAGCTGATGCTATAGACTGTCAGGGGACTGGCTTTGTTGAGTTTGTGTCAAGAACCAGCATTCAGCTTTGAAAGATGTCTGTCATTGTTTTGACTTTATACATTATACGGTGATGTTTATATCCGTGTGTGCTTCTGCACTTTGCCGGATCACTCTCATTTTAATCTGGTTAATTAAAGGTAAAATAAAAGAAACACAATCAGACAAGCTAAACAGTTCATAAAGTTACCACTAAGCCTAGTCCCCAGTGACATGTTGAATGTTACTGTATGTGTGAGCCATGTTCATATGGAACATCTCATGTTTGTGTGTGGCAACATGTTTGATGAAGTGTTTATGTACACTCGTGTGCATGCTCTCGCGCACGCTCACATGCATGACAGAACCATAATCAGCTCCAGATGAATTGGTGTGTCTGCTAGTTTCCCAGAATAGAAGCACTGGTTTCCCTGCAGCAGTCCGAGTGGCCTTGGCAAATATTTTAGCAACTTTATGTTTACCTTCACACTCACTCAGTGCATGCTTCGTTCCATGTCGTTACTCCAAAAAACATCCATTATACTTATATCCAATACATTACTCTGCGATGAATGCATTGCATTGTGTAGAAATGGACCAGATACCAACGGTATTTGCAGAAGATGAATGGTCTTGCCCATGGGCACAAGAGCAACAGTGTTGAACCTTCATCTTTCTGAACAGTGAAATACAAAACATTCTGTTATAATGATAACAACACAGAGAACAAGGAAAAGTCCAACTACCCCTTTGAAATGAATGAGCTAAAACTATTATCTGTATTAAGTGTATTTATGATGAACTCAATACTGTGGGATGTGTTTCCAGAATGTGTCATTGAAACTTGCTTTCCTTTCTTAGTGCCGCCCATCCAAAGGACGGAGGAGAGGCTATTGCTGGTGCGTGGACAAATATGGACAGCCACTACCTGGGTTTGACCGAAGAGAGAGAGGAGAGACCCAGTGCTACAACATGGAGAGCAAATGAGAGCTACACAAGGATGGACAGGAACTCCGAGAGGAGGCTGGACGAGGGAAGGAGCAAGAACCTTCTCTGCTCTTGCACTTAGATTTCTGTAAACCATTTGAAGGAGCTCAGGACCTTTCAGGTCCCATTTCTGTTGGCAAGGGAGGGAAGGGGCTGGTCACGCCACCAGCCAAAGCTATCTACCCTGTGTTTAGGGAGCGCTATCTTTTATAATAAACACATTTAAATCGAATAAGCTGAAAGCTGAGAGAAGCAAGAGAGCCCTAATATCATCTGCACTATTCTTTTAAAGGAACGAGGGACTTTTTCCACTCACTTTAAAGAGGACATTTTTGAGACTGTAATCCAAAAATCCACACCTCACTCTGTCTGCATGTCTGTACACACGTGTGTATATTTGTGTTCATACTAATTATCCGTTCAGGCTTGTTAGACAGCCCTTCCACAGTTTACAATGAAAAAACCTGGCTCAGGTTGGGTTCTAAAGTGAAGGACAATGGAACAGCTGAGCATTCATCTCTATGAGAGAAGTTTAGCCTGCTGTTGCTGTTACTGTTACAGTGCCTTACAATGTATTTGTACTTTCTACTCATCCCTTTAGGACAGATTCAAGGAATACTCCAGTGCAAGCTTTGGTCTGACAGCCTTCTGTGCATGTGTGAAATACTTTAATGATTGAAAATTAAACACAGTAAATTCTGAAATGAGGCTTTACAAACATGGAGAAAAAAAAGAGTTCTGAAATATGTATGCAGATATATTGATTATGGTTAAGAAGAAAGTGATGACAAACACCATTCACTCCTTACTTTGTAAAAACAGATCTGTAAGAACTGTACTCCAAAGAGTGAGGAGAAAACATTTCCCCAAACCCTCTGTAACCCTCTGTAGAAGGCCAACAGCAGTGTTGAATGTAAATTACAAGAACTTGACTTCAGTGTTAATGTAGCATCTGCGATGGCAGCTCTGACTGTTTTGTCGATCACAGTCCAATGCAACTATAAACCCAGTGTCAGTACAGTACGACAAAGACATGTTTGTCAAGTGGGTTTTGACAAAACATACAATGTCACAAATGAGGTCATGATCAGTGTGGAGCGTTCACAAGTGACTCGTGAGAGCTGCCTTTAAGAACATTACCAATGCTTTGGCAGTTCAGCAGCGACATGTGGGCAGCAGAGAGACTGTTTGTGTGACAGAGCTTTCTGTTGACTTTTTCGTGTTTTTGTGGGTCCCCATGGGAAGACTTTATAACTCATGTGAATCCAAGTTTTCCACAGTAAATGAGCATGAGTGCATTAAGTCATTAAGTGTTCAAAGTCTGCTCCACTCAAAAACAACTTGTTTTCTCACTGCTTTCACTGCACAGAATGAGCTCTGTCCAAGGAATGACACTGTAAAGACATTTTCATAGTTGTTAAATGGCTGATTAAAATGGGTCATTTCTCCACTTTTGCTCTAAATCATTTTAAGTAGACTTGGACTGGGAATACTCAGTTATTGTTTTATGACAAAGTTATGGTCTCATGTGCAGTTTTTATTCATGCATTATGAAAACACCATAAATAGTCAAGTATATTTTAAAGTGAATTCATGCAGAACTAATGTGACTTTTTATTAGTATTTGAATAGAAATGGTTAAAGACGATCCCTTTTGTAAATCAGTTGGAGTATTCCTTTCATTTGTCTCAGTCTTTTCCCAGTGACTTCTTCCCTTCTGTCCACATCTGTCTCTCACTCATTTGCCCTCACTCTGTCCCATGTCCCACTGTCCTGTCAATGGTGTATGCCTTTGTCTCCTGCACAGGTGCCAGCTGCCCCTATAAGCTTTCAGCTAAGCACAAGCACTTAAAGCACTTTTGTTTCACCAAAACATGCAGTTAAAGACAACTGGACCTATCCCTTGTTCAGAGCTGATGATACTGTTAGAACAGAGAGAACCTGGAAGAAGAACAAAGCAGCACCAGGGCAGATAGTGAAGACCCTCCGTACAATGCAAATGTTGTCATTGTTTGTCTTTGAGTGATGCTTGTATGTATAGATGCCAATAAGTCTCCACACGTTGGACACTGCACCAAATATGCATTATATGACACACATGAGAGGGGTCTAAGGGAGGGCCGCTCCTTCCTGCCCAGTGCACTCCCAATCCTGTATAAAGACTTGAACAGAGACGAGTGCTTTGCCCAGGAGATTGTTAGCATACCTTTGGCTTGTATGCTTTCATTATCGTTCACCATAACTCCAGCATGTTGGTGCTATATTCCATCTGCTCAAAGACTTGATGTACAGGGAGGATCAAAATCACGTGTAAGCTATTCCCTCCCTTACAATTGTAAGAGTGTCTTTTTTATTATATATGAATATTATTATTTTTTTGGCCAGCGATCATGTACAGTGCTTAAGATAACATATTTATCTAAAATTCATCAATTGCACGGTCAACGAGTCAGTGTATTGTGGGATTATAATCACTAATGAATGTTTTACTATTATTTCTCTGTTGTTTCTGAAGTGGAGTTTGTGTTGGACAGACACTTGGCCTCTGCAGTGGCATTAGCCTTTCTTCACTCTCTCCATACTCCCAGACATCCAGCCTCAGTCTCTTTCTTTCACTATGGTTCAATGTTCTGCTGGTGACATCACATCTTTCTGTTCACGGGTAAATCTGTTTTGTGTTGTGTTTGTTAGCTGTTTGTTTGTTTTATTAAACAAATGATTTAAACTGTAAACTAGAAATCACAGTTATAATTTTCCTGAAAACAAAATAATATGATTCAAATTATAATTTGTATTTAATGTTCTTTTTATAAAAATAAAAGGTGAATACATACGAGCCATGTTTTGTAGCGTGTGTTTTCACTCATATTCATGGTGTGAATGTTGGGGCAGATAATATTTCATAAAACACAAGGAGCTGATTTCTTCCCCCCCCCCCCCCCCCCCATCACTCTGATACAAGATGATGTTGTTTCAGAACTGTAAAGACTTTTTAGATCTTCTTTGGCCATCTCCAAACTGGCCTTCATGATCTTGCATCTTGGTGGTGAAGATCGGCCATCTTCACATTTATGGTCTTGGTCCTCTGGTGTTCTGCGGGAGGTCATTGTGAAATAATAATAATAACAATACAATAATGGTTTGCCAGTTGACGGTAAGATTCTGATTGAAATGAGTTCTAGTATTAGTAGTAGTCATTATGGGTATGAGATAATGAGGGATAATAAATATGAGGGAATTCCATAATAATAATAATAATCATGATAATAAGAATAATGCATTTGTTTTAAGTAGAACTTTTGTGGTCATTTAACGTGTCATTATTTATTTCACACACAGTGATTAACAATGACTGGAGCAAAGCGATGCAACCAGTATGTACCGCGCTGTGGCACCTGGTGTTCGCAGAGGTCTCCAATCACACCACTAACAAGGCTCTGCCCTGCTTAGGTCTGACAGGATCTGACTTTCACATGCAGGTGGCACCACATAGTCAGATGTCTGTTTAGATTCCTCAAGGGCTGTTAGTTGCATTGGGTCAAATCCGACGTTTAAACTCTGAAAGTCTGAGTTAAAGCAGATCTTGTTTGTTGTTATTCAGATCTGATGCGGTGAAGTCCACAGTCAAAAACAGAAATAAAAAGGTCAATGTCAGAACATTCATGAAGCCGACTGTACATTTGCAACAGTCAGAGAGAGATAGCACAAATTAGCTCCTGTTGAAGTTGTAGAATGTAATCAGGCTCCTCTCAGTCGTGGAATGTGTCCGTACGGATATTCAAAGGTTCAATATGTAGCGAATAAAAATAAATCCGGTGGTGCCAGGCAGGCTGGCAGTGGGCACCCGAGGTTGAAACAAATTCCTGTACCCGACCAAGGTAAACACAGAGGAGGTTAAAAGGCAGAGAGCGTGGGATGGCCAGTGGAACGGTCACTGCGGATGTGATAGGACATGCACATTCTCTGCTGACGTCCATGACTTATTTTTAGCTCCTTTTGTAATTGTGACATTTTTAAAATTTCAGATTTTCAGAAACAGATTCCTTTAATTTGCCATTTGCAGTAAAACCACATTGGAATACATGTGCAACAGTGTGCAACAGACAAACACATACATAAACAAGATTGAAAACACAGGAATAAAACTTACTATTAAAAGTGCAGGAAACACAATTGACGCAGTGAAATCAAATCAAATGTTATGACATTTTTTGAAATTTTACAGAAAAATATCAAACTAGAGTTGACAATATTCCTTACTGACATAGCAACACGTCAAAAAAGTATGTCTGCGGTACCAAAGTGGCTCAATTGGTAGAGCATTGGCCTGAAGGTTGTGGGTTCGAGTCCACCGCGAGACCTTCTCCACCGACTCCCACTGATGTCTGCTGTCGTTGTGTCATGACAAAAGTAGTATTGCAATAAATGTTATTCAAGTCCTAAGTGTCTCTGAAACAGTAGTTTTGTGTTTTACAATTGTTATTTTTCTTGTTTTTTTCTGCGTGAGATGTTGCTGCAGTTCAGTGATCATGGTTTTACACTGCTCCAGACCAGAGCAGAGAGGATTCATGGTTTTACACTGGTCCAGACCAGAGCAGAGAGGATTCATGGTTTTACACTGGTCCAGACCAGAGCAGAGAGGATTCATGGTTTTACACTGGTCCAGACCAGAGCAGAGAGGATTCATGGTTTTACACTGGTCCAGACCAGAGCAGAGAGGATTCATGGTTTTACACTGGTCCAGACCAGAGCAGAGAGGATTCATGGTCCTAAACAAGCAGATCAGGCAAAAATCCACTGGAGGAATGCAAACAAAGCATTTAGCATTTTACTTTGGACCAGCGCAGAGAAAATGGTCCGAACCAAGCGGCTGCTCCACCTCTGCTGCTGTGAAGTGCTGTTGCATTTTATTACTATTGTTAGCTTTTTAAATAAATAAAAGTAAAAAAAAGAAAACGATAATAATTCATTAGATGTACAGTATTTTTTAATTTAAATTTGGATTTTAAATTTTGGAATAACATGACACTGTAACTTTCTGAAGATGAAGATGTCTCACTTTTCATGTTTAAATGGGAAGTCTGGGCGTCTCTGCTTAGACAGCTGCCCCTGTGACCTGGAAACAGATGAAGGAAGAAAGAGGAAGAAAATGAATGGATGAATAAATAGACATAATAAAGCTCATATCAAGCAATTGCCACAGCTGTCCTGGGGCAGACTGACAGAAGTGAGGCTCCAAACTATGCCATCGACTCCTCCACACCCAACAAACTCACAAACATGCGAATTATGTTTTGTTGCGCAATAGATGTGCAATAACCTCTAGCAGGGTTCCCCAACCTTTATGAGCCGTGGCACACCTCAGTTATCAATCAATCAACTTTTTATTTGTATAGCTCCTCCAAACAGAGCTGTTTTAAAAGCCTCAGGCCTGAGGACTGGACTAATGTGATCGTACTTCCTGGTTCTGGTCAGGACTCGAGCTGCAGAGTCTTGAATAAACTGCAGCTGCTTTACAGCCTGTTTGGACAGACCATTGCAGTAGTCTAACCTACTGGAGACAAATGCATGGCTAAGAATCTCCAAGTCTGCTTCAGACACTATGTTTTTGATCCTGGCAATGATTTATAGATGGTAAAAAGCTGCTGATGTTACTGATTTGATGTGGCTGTTGAAACTTCAGTCCAGTATTACCCCTAGATTTCTGTGTTCAACTGCTCATATAAATGAATCAGATTCAGACGGGATCATGACAGTATTATTTTTATTAAATACATCACTTTGTGCCATGACATGTTAAAAAGTACATGAACATCAGTCACACTGACAGCAGCGTGTTCAGAGCACCTCAGTGCTGGAGACAGTCACACAGAAGTCTTGTTTCCACAAATACATCAAGTGAAAGCTAACACATAAATATTGGAGGTAGGTAAATGTAGAAATACCCGTGTGAGAAGTGTGCAGGGAGTCTGCAGTCCCATGTAACATGGGATTGTTTTCTGAGAAAGATTCCCTCAGTGGGAGTTTGCAGTTTTCATTACTGACCAGAGTTGAGCTTGTGTCACAACAGAATCAAAGACTAAAAGAGAATATCTGCAACAATGTGAATATAAACATTTAGAAATTCTTCTAAATGACATTTGGTCACTCTTTTCTCAGTGCTTTTGTTCTGGTTTGGTTCATCACTAACCAAACCAAATATAACTCCATAGCTTTGGAGTTACTCAGAGACACGTCACATATCTACACTTTGTACACACTTAATATAATAATATCAACAAGGAAAATAATATAAATAATTACAAATAATAAAAAAATAAAAAACAGTTAAATAAATAAGGCATAAGTTTAGACAAAAAAGTCATCAACATAAAGACTAGAATAGATTTCTCTCTCTTTGGGACGGGTCCAAAGGGGTGTAGTCAGCATCCCACAATGACAGTGTACCTGAATTACATGGATACAATCAATAAATAAACAGCTATAACATGAACATCAGTGGCTTCTTTGTTTGAAGAGGTTATGTCTGATCTCTTAAGGGCACTCTGTATCTGCATCCACGTCTGTTGAACCCAATAGTTTTTTTCCATTCCAGGAGTTGACACACCAACAGCGCCCCCGCTGGCCGTCCAGAGAAGACTCACACTGTGGGAAGAACACAGCTTTATTCTGCTGTTCTACACAATATGTTCAAGATCTAAGATGAACGCCCATGTGCTCCACTGTCTCACCTGTTTGGGTTTGTACAGTCCGTGTTTGTCGCAGTTTGGCAGGTAGAATCTGGTTAGCTTGTCTCCTAACTTCTGCTGGGACCTGGCAATTTTTTCCAAGGCTCTCTGAAGTTCCACATGACAAGGTCCCTGAAAAAGTTTTAAACAATGTTTAAAAAAAGTTATATTTATTTAATCATCATTTTAAATCGTACATTTATAGTCATAATGATATAATAATTTATATGATACTATATTTATTAGATTAATAAAAGTAACAGCAACAATAAATAATAATAATTTCTGTTGCATATAATTAGACATTTGTGTCCCTTTTACTTTCTCCATTACCAGGATTTCAAAGTGGCACTCGAGCCCCCCCTAGTGGTTGAACTTTTTCTACACATTTACAAAACTTTGTGCTTCTTCCTACAGATAAATGGCAGAAGGCCACACTCGTGCAGGCAGTTAAAGGGTCTCACCTGCTCCACCAGCTTCTTGCGGATGGCAATGAGTTTGGCCTTCATACTCTCCTGAGCCTCAGCCACGGCCCGGGGGTCGTAGGGTCTGTTGGGACCCGACAGATACAGACTCGAGCCAGGATCTGAAATGATTGCAGTGTTGTCCATCTCCAGTTCTGGTTCTGTCTGCTCTGTAAGCAGAATATAAAAACACATTGCTGTGGTGCCAATTGTCTGCATGAAACTTCATCAGAATATTTACCCCTAATGATATTAGAGACATTTGACTAAACTATACTTGGAGTTAAAAATGAAGGTTAAGAGGAGAAAAGAGCAGGTGCCTTTAGAATAAGACGTTACTGCGTAAAAGTAAAGAGCTATAAGACTAGTCATGTCAGCTTGGAGACCAGGTCCTTACCTTGGACAGGAGGCTGGGACGTGGGGTCGGCTTCGGGGATCTCGGTGCACACCGCCTGTCCCCGGGTGAGCGAGTGCAGTGGTCTGGGGTCGCCTGCTCTGGGAGAGCACCTCAACCCGGAGCCGCACGGTGCGGTGTAGATGCCGCACAGCTCTCCAGAGCTGAGGGCACAGGCCAGGCAGCATCCACATCCAGGCTCCCGGAGCACCTCGGCGCATCCGAGGGGCACCGCCGGACATTGGCTCAGCTTCTCTGGAGTGCATGGGGCGCATCGGATTGGCTCTGGCCCCAACACTGGGGACCCCAACACCAGAGTGGGCAGCACGGAGCAGAGCGCTGCCAGCACCATGGCATTTCTCACATATAATCCTCGAACAGCCGGCATCTCGCTTGGAACAGTATAGAATGCAGCAGGAAGAGGCAGCTCTGCGCAGGACTTCTTCTGTAGTGTCTTTCGTTTTATTTTGGGAAAATGTCTAACTGTGCTTTGCACACAGCCGTATTTATAGCCGGTTCCTCTGTGAGTGGTTGACGCATCGGCGTTATGAATGATTTCTGAAAAGAAGGTGTAATGACACCGTGAGCTCTGATTGGCCAGCCCGCGTCCGGTCAGGCAGCTCATTTGAATACAACAATCACGTCAATATTTATTTTGGAACAGCCAGTGCCTGCACGTATAACGTCGAGTGACGACACTAGTGTTTGATGTTGCAACCCCTAACCCCCTATTCTCACCCGCTCGCTACTTCAGCCTCAGAGCCACAAGTTTATCTTCTGTTCAGTTGATTGAGAAGCTTGTGAAGCGAGTCTTTGTCCCTCCAGGAACAGAAAGCACAAAACTCTATTCATCAGTGCTGTACACGAATTGCCCTGACCGAACTTCTTGCACAACTTTGTAAAAACTAATAATTACGCACGCCTACGCAGCCGCACATGGCGCCTACAGGAGCCCGTTGGGGATAATACACTTTCAGAAATAGCAGCGCAAATGAGGGTCGCCGTTTACGCCTTTGGCCCGGGTCCCGTGGGTACGGTATGTCAGCTCTCACGCACTGAAGCCACTGGGCCAGGTCCAAGAGCTGTCCCCGCCACGCAAGCGCACGCGTAATGATCTGTTTCTTGCTTAATAATAGAGGGGCGCACATGGGAGAAGACACGTCCTTCTGATATTCTCATGGATCCTTCTCAGACCGAGGCCCCACGTCCACTGTCTGGATAGTGTCGCGTGACACGTGCTGGTGTCCCCTGCTGTTGTATTTGTTTAATAACTCGGGGATGTCTTTGTTCTGCCAGAAACACACATCATCTCATTTGAAGTTTTCTGATGCAATATGTCACAATGTGTCTGTGTGCAATTGTCCAGAGGATTGCATCATCTGTCAACTGGTCCTAACGCAGTTCTCACGTGACGCATGCGCTTGTGTTCCTTGGGGCTTGGGGCTAAATGCAGCCATCAGTGTGATCTGACCATGGATCTGACGTGTATGAGCTCTGACCCCTGAGCCCTCGGGCTATTATCACGTCTTTATGTTGAACGTGAATTCAGGCCTGAACCTCCCGCAGACTAACGCTCCGTAACGTCTGCTGTGATTGTTGACCACGTGGAAGACACAAACTATATCATAAAATCCATCTAACTCCTTTGATTGTATCAGTAGTTTTCAAGTGCATATATTTTGGCCAATCACATCTTTGGATTCGATTTTCAGACAAAAAAATATGAAGAAGTAAGTAAGTTAGTAAAGTTTTATTTATATAGAGCGTCCCTGCTGAAAATAATCCATTTGTTAGGTTAGAATGACTACAACACAATACAGTTTTTCTCAGTAGCTTTGTTGCATTTCTCAGACTTAAAGTTCTCAAAACTATTAGTTCAACCTCCTCAACATTAAGTCATGTGTGACATCATCACAGCAGTTTCTCCTTTGAACAGATTACAAATGCTTTTGGACATGCATCAGTTACTTTCATACAATTCTCTGCTGTTTTATAACATGATCATTTGCTTTTGTCCTGTCAGTCAGAATGAAACATACTTATGACTTCTGAATAGTCATTCCAAAATCTGGTCAAGCTACTATTTCATACATTGCTTTCTCAAAGACAAGTTGTTTTTGTTGCACAAATTCGTGTAAACAAATGAGTATATGCACACAAGACTTTCTTTACATTTAAACATACCCTCAGGTTACAATTTCAGCTTCACATCCACACACATACATACAACACTATCAAATACCATACATACACACACATACATACAACACATACATATACATACATACACACACAACATACATACTTACTGTACAATACAAACATGCAACCAGTACACACACACCGAGCTGCTTCGGTGCGGGTTGGGCTTGGGTTTGGGGGTCCGGTCGTGCTGGGCTTGGGGCGTGTGTGTTGTGGGACGTGGGGGGGGGTGGGGGGTAGGGTGGGGTTGGGTGTGGGGGGGGGGGGGAGTGGCTGGGGGGTGGGGATGTCGTTTGGGTGGAGGGGGGATGGTGGTAGGGGGAGGAGGTGGGGGGTCGGCGGTGGGGGCGTGGGTGGTGGTGGGCAGTGGGAGTTGGAGTGGGGTAGTGGGTAGGGGCGGAGTAGGGGAGGGCGGGGGGGGGGGATGGTGGGGGGTTGAGGGCCAGGGAGTGGTGGGTCGGGATCGCGGGCTGCGTGGGGTGGCCTATGATAAGAGTTGCTGTTCTGCTTCCGCTCGTGCATTTTCTTATCTTACTCAGTTACTTCACTAAATACAGTCATGTGTAACTGCAAATGTGAAGAATGTTGTGAGAAATGCGCCAAAGCGACAAAGAAAAACTGTAATAAGTTATGTTTATGTTTGGTTTCAATTTAGAATGACTCTATTATTTTAAATACAGAACAGCTCTGAGTTCTCCAGACAGACGAGAGCGTTTGAGGGAAGCTTGTACTGGAACTGAATGAAACAAATCATTTCTATTCACGTTGTTTTGTGGTGTGAGATGAACATTTGTAGGATTTTCTAAAAGAAACATTTATATCTGTATGTCTTTCCTTCCTGCTGCTGTCAGACTGTACAACAAACAATGAGGGCTAATGAACACTGACAACCTGACCTCACATGTCATGCATCGGTGCAATATCCTTAACTAATATCAGAATGTGAAATACAGAACCATGTACAGATGTAAACATACTGCTGCTAATGTACAGATGTAAACATACTGCTGCTAATGTACAGATGTAAACAAACTGCTGCTAATGTACAGATGTAAACATACTGCTGCTAACATGTACAGATGTAAACATAATGCTGCTAATGTACAGATGTAAACATAATGCTGCTAATGTACAGATGTAAACATACTGCTGCTAATGTACAGATGTAAACATACTGCTGCTAACATGTACAGATGTAACATACTGCTGCTAACATGTACAGATGTAAACATACTTCTATATATTGCTTGTACGAGAATACACAGTATACTTGTTTCTTATTTTGCCAACGTTAGATATTTATACTTCTTATTATGATAAAGATAGAGATTTTATACTGCTTATTTTTAAGTTAGAGTTAAACAGTATTTTGTGTGCTCCTCATTTCTATTGTTCGGTAACTGGTGATAAAACACTGAAATGTCCCCACTGTGGAACAAATAAAGGACCGCTTTATCATAATCTTAATCTTAACATACAGTATATACTGTAGAGACCCACATTTCACACTCAGTCAATATTAAATCATGAAAACAAAAATGAAATACTTTTCATCCATCCTTAAGACTTTTAAAAATCAAACTGACATTTATTTTCCTTTCTCCTTCACATGAACTCATCAAGTTAATGTTTGTTCTACTTTATGACAAGAGTTTGTTTTAAAAGATTTTTTTCTTCCATTTTGGCACCAAAGACCGGTACGATGTTTATTTGTTCTCATAAACATTTAGAGGTTGCAATTCATGTTTCAAAAAGCCTTCAACCTCTGTCAGGAGTTGTTAAACATAAGTATTACCAAAACAAATGTAGGAGATTCCTTCTTGCTTGTCCTCAGCTGAACTCCACATAACTCTGTGAAACAAATTTACGACTTTTAAGGCTGTCCCCATTTGAACCATGAGCGATGTTGGTTTTGGCAGCTGCAGCTGTACATTTTAGCTGTGCATTTTAGTAAAAACCTGGCTATAGCAGTATATCTATACAAATAAAACAATCACACAATCTCTCACTTGCAGAATTTTCTTCCACCGCACAAAAGAGATCTCAGGTTAATTTAAGGATAGAAACAACACAGCTCCATTTGCAGAGATAGATACTGTAATGTAATGTAATGTTTATTTATATAGTGCATTTTACAGACTAAGGTCACCCAAAGCGTTTTAAAATGTTCAGTCTTGTACTGTACATTTTAATATATTGTTCCAATCATTCCACACACAGTGGAGAATGATTGAGAGGTGAGTGTGCTATCCACTCAGCCACCATGCCGCCCTAATGATCCCTGTAGGAGAAATGCAGGTGTCCAGTAGCAGCAGAAACACATCCATCCGAACAAACAAACCAAATAAATTGATCATTCTAAAAAGCTAACAATAGTAGTAATAAAATGCAGTCCTTCAGGTCACAGCAGCCACTTGGTTTGGACCATTTTCTCTGCTCTGACCAAGTAAAATGCTAAATGCTTTGGTAGCATTATTCTAAAAGTTAGTATTCCTCAAAAGGGTTTTCTCTTGATCAACTTGGTCTGGACCAGTGGAAAACCATGAATCCTCTCTGGTCTGCTCTGGACCAGTGTAAAACCATGAATCCTCTCTGCTCTGCTCTGGACCTGTGTAAAACCATGAACACTGTACTGCACCAATGTCTCAGGCAGAAAAAAGCAAGAAAAGTAACAATTGTAAAACACATAAAAAAAGTTTGGGAGCCACTTAGGACTTGCTGCCGTTTTTAACGCATTAAAAAGTAAACAGAGTGCAGTGTTACTAACAAAGCTGTCAGTGAAACAGGTTTTATGGAGCGAAGGGTTAAATACTCCAGGATCAAACAGCACTTGTCGTTGAGCGTCCAATAACATCAATGACTACTAGTGACAAAAGTGCAGATTAAACTGTGAAGCACACACACAAACTCACACGCACACACACCCTCGCACTCACACACACACAAACTCACACGCTTGCACACACACACCTACACACACACGTCGGCTTCCTTCATCTTGAGTCAGGCTTTGGACTTTGAAACCAGGGGGATCTTGGACAGAGCTTTGTTTGAGCTCACGCCCACAGAAAGAATGCACACCTGCAGGATTCTACACAGGTTTCTGAAGACGACTAACACAGGGTAAAACAGGCCCGATTAGACGGAGACGCTGTGAAGATGCTGCAAAGCAATTAACAAAAACGACCAGGCTCCGTAATTGAAGTGCACAGAGTCTTCACGACAACGGGAAAACAATGTAGTTCCAGCGCCCGGACAATAGGGGGCAGTGGAACTTTACAACACGACACACCCGACTCCTACCAGTATAATCACTTCCTCAACAACATCCTCCTCAGGCCGCCGCAAAGACGGGAAAGAACCAACTTCATTCTGTATTTAACAGCAGCAATGAAATTGGTAACTGAAACTACAGCTTCATGT